CTACTACTACTACTACTTCTACTAGAGACGCCAGACTGAACAATCTCATGTTCGTCTTGTGTTGTCCTCATTTGTCTTGATTTGTCTTCATGTGTTGTTTAATCCTTGTTGTTCATGGTTTGTATTTGTCTCCATTTGTCTTTAGAATAAGGCCCCTACATTTCTGATCATAGCTCACAATACACTGATTTGCTCCCCGTGTCAGTGGCATGGCTCAAGCAAAGTTTCCTGGAGCCGACCACTTCACGGCCCTTGCGTAAGCAGTGTCATATGAAGCACGGTTTACAATGCCTGTGAAGGTATGGGCCATCTAAGGATGCTTATGCAGTTTGGTGAATGCAAATTAGGGGTTTCTGGATTTGGGGCTTTATTTTGGGATAATAATTGAAGAAGCCCACACTTCACATTATAATAGCAGTCTTAGGGCTATAAAGGAGTAGACGCCGGGTTGGACCCCGAAGCCCCTCAGCGCCGAATCCCATAGTTTTTTCTGATCTTTTCTGGATGCACAGGTACTACAAAACTTAAACCCTGAAACCTTAATCTCTAAACCCCTAACCCTTAAACGAAAAACGTACCTGTCAGTGTTTAGATCCTACCAGCCTTGAATTCCCAAAAGGTGCATCCTGTGTACTGTATACCCCATAATCCTAGAACCCTGTACGTGTTACCGTATAAACCCTACATTTTTACATGCATATAAGCATATAGTTAAAGGCCGACGCAGGGACGAAGGGCCCAGCGTGGTAGAACGTCGAAATGGCGTTCGTTTGTGTGAACGCTGTGCTCATGAGTGGTAGAGGCACTTGGATCACAGCAAGGTGCGATTGGACAGTTGGGGAACTTAAGCGACAAGCGCAAAATTCCTTGCAAACTGGACGTGGCATCTTGGTTAACACTTCCGGCGAGTTCCTGCGCGACGAAGAAAACCTTCTCGATGCTGGCGTCAAGATGGGTGACGTCGTCTCGCTGCATTTGAGGGAAGTGCATATCGCTGCTACAACCAATGCATTTTGTGCTGTTCTCGGCGACGGACGTGTCGTGTCATGGGGTGATTCGAAGTATGGCGGTGACTGTAGCTCGGTCAGCAAGCTGCTGAAAGATGTGAAGCACATTGCCGCTTCGTTTGCTGCCTTCGCTGCTGTCCTTCGCAACGGATCTGTGGTTGCTTGGGGGAACTCGGGATTCGGGGGCAATATTGGCCCCGTGGCGCACCAGCTGGGCACCTTGGAGACCAAATGACCCTCATAAGTAGGGGCCCTATATTGTGAATCCATACATGGTATATGATCCTGAAGCCCTTTTAGGGATCTTTTGGTCCTGAAGGCAATGTGGAGCGAATCATCGCTTCATGCGGCGCCTTTGCTGCCATCTGTGCAGATGGATCCGTCGTGACTTGGGGGCACGGCAGCCATGGCGGCGACAGCCGAGCGGTCCAACACCAGCTCCGGAATGTTCGAGAGATCCAGGCCGCACACATGTCGTTTGCTGCAATTATCGACGATGGCTCCGTGGTTACCTGGGGCAATCCTCTCCATGGTGGGGACAGCAGCGCTGTCGAGGACTCGCTCAGAAATGTTCATACAATTCAGGCGACGAATGGTGCTTTCGCTGCCATCCGCAGTGACGGAACTGTCGTGACCTGGGGCCAATCCAAACAAGGTGGCGACAGCCGCGCTGTGCAGCACAGCCTTCAGAACGTGCAAAAGATACAAGCCTCGCCCGGGGCCTTTGCCGCCCTTCTTGGCAATGGGTCTGTGGTGACTTGGGGGCATTCTGACCACGGTGGTGACAGCAGCAGTGTCCAAGATCAGCTGGTGCACGTGCAGCAACTGGAGGCGTCCTTTGGAGCATTTGCTGCAGTCCTGGGTGATGGGTCTGTCGTGACCTGGGGGAACCCCCATTATGGCAGCAACAGCAACTGGGTACAAGATCCTGAGCAGCTGAATCGGCACACTTTACACTGTTGTGGACAATATCATATCGCCTAGATGCCGTATGTGCCCCTGTGAAGCTGAAAAACCCCCCCTAATTCCTAAACCCTAAACCCCCACCCCAACCCTAAAGTGTACACTTTTGGGAGGCTTATGAACCCAGCAACTAAACCCTAAACCCCTAAACCCTAAACCCCTAAATCCTAAAGCCTAAAACCCTAAACTAAGGACCAGCTGAAGCATGTACGCCGGGTCGTGGCTTCAGACGGGGCATTTGCTGCTATTCGTAGTGACCTGGGCTTGGAGCACCATGCGGTTGAGGGTTTAGGGTTTAGGGGGTTTAGGGTTTAGGGGGTTTAGGGCTTTAGGGGTTTAGGGTTGAGCGTTTAGAGTTTAGGGTTGACTTCTTTTTTTTGGATCTGTTCTTTCAAGGAATCATTATGAAAGTCTATGGTTTTCTCCCTGTTTTACTTCAGAGTAAAGGTGATGGATCTGTCGTCACCTGGGGAAATCCCGGCCAGGGCGGTGACAGCAAAGCTGTGCAAGAAGAGCTGCGTAATGTCAGGCACACGGTCCAATTTAGTGTTTACGGTTTATGGTTCCCAGAAGAGCTGAGCAATGTCAGGCACGCGGTTTGCGTTTTAGGGCCTGTAGGTTTTAAAGTTGCCAGAAGAGCTGCGTAATGTCAGGCACGGGGTTCGGTGTTTAGTTTTTCAAGAAGAGGCATAAGCACTAAATGCAAGAACCTGATCAAGAAACCCTGGCCCTATAACCCCAATATATCAGGGTTCATATAAGAACCCCTAGAAAGGCCCAGGGCCTCTTAATCAGGTTCCTAGATCAAGCCAGAAGAGCTGCGGATTGTCAGGCACATTCAAGCATCCCGCAGAGCCTTCACGGCTATTCTCGAGAACGGGTCGCTGGTGACGTGGGGAGACGCGCTGAGCGGTGGGGACAGCAGCTCCTTGCAACGTGATCTGAGGAGCCACTTATAAGCCGGCTCGGGGTCCAGGATTTTGAGCATTTCTCAGTTTACATGGTTTAAATCTAACAGACAGGACACATAATCCTAAATCCGAACTGCTAGAGCCCTATGAACCCTAAGCCCTAAGCCCGAAACCCTAAGCAAGCAGAGTAGACCCTCGACCCCAAGCCCAACAGGATGCATGCAATTCGCCTCGAGATCAACTGTTTGAAATTTTAAAGTTTTAGACTTTCTACCGCTTCTACCGGAAGCATGGCGGTCAAGTACCACAAGTTGTAAACCCAATTCTGCAACGTCCTTATGTTACTGTTTGGGATTTAGGATCCGTTAGTTATACTATGTGTGTATGTATATATGTATATATATATATATATGTATGTATGTATGTATGTATGTATGTATGTATGCATGTGTATATATATATATGTATATACTTATTTATTTATTTATTTATTTAGTTTATTCGTTTATATTTATACTTATATGTATATTTATATGTCATTTATATTTATATTTAATTATCTATACTTGCACCCTGTCCATCCTATACATAAAGTTGAATCGAGCAACAACAAGATGACAGAACAAAGGGGTTTGGCGTTTAGGGTTTAGGGTTTTGAGTTTAGGGTTGGGGGTTTGGTGTTTTGTGTCGTTTGGGGTTTAGAACGAAAACATGGTTTTATCAAACGCCCTAGAGCCGTAACTGGCCGCAAACGTTCCCTGGCCTTTGAACCTGTGGGACGAGCCTACTGCAACTCGGACACCAGATTTGAGATGCATGAAAAGGCTTACCGTGGAGGCTCACTCCTCCTCAAAGCCCGAAGCCCTAAAGGGTGAGGGCTTGAGGGTTTTAGGGGTCAGGGCTTTGGGGTTTTAGGGCGTGGTTTCGGGTTTAGGGTTTTTAGGGCTTTTAGGGTTTAGGAAACTCTTTGGTGCTTTTAGGGCCCGTTTAAGGCTGCTTATAGCGTGCATATTTGCTCTGGTTCCAGGGGTTTCTTGGGTAGCTTGTGGGTTTTTAGCCCTAAACCCCAAACCCCAAACCCTAAACCCCTAAACCCTAAACCCTAAACCGTTCCCTTCAAGGCTTCCGTTGTAACGGTTTCCTTTAGGGTCCCCAGAAGGGTACCCTGCCGGCCCTGGACAGTGTAGGGTTTAGGGGTTTAGGGTTTAGGGTTTAGGGTTTGGGGCTTAGGGGCTTAGGGGCTTAGGGGTTTAGGGTCTTAGATTAGAAAAGTGTGTGGGTGAAGCGCAATCAAAAGCAGACCATACCCGAATGCTGCCAATACATGGCATCGAAGCTATTTCTTCCGTGGGTCTGTCAGAATTTTCCTCCTGCCCCTGGTATTCTTGATTGGAGATTACCTTCACAAATCCCAGAGGGTGTTCAACCATAAATGAAAGCTTCAAACCTATAGCCCGAAGCCCGAAAGATGCAAAAAATCTGCGAGCACTAGCAGCTAGCACTTTTTTTTTGAAGTAGTTGGTACCTAAACCACTTAAGCTGCAAAAGCTCTTGACACCCCTTTGCCCAAAGCAATAAGAAGCTACGTGCAGTAGATACAGCTTCTTAGGAGCTGAGTAGGTAACCTTTAACCTTTTGGGGCTTATATAAACCTATTATAATGCAAAAGGTTAACCTTTTTTGGGCTCAGGTACTCGGCCCCTAAGGCTTGAAGTTTAACCCTAAACCCTCCTGGAAGCTCGGAGTCCCACGGAGAGCGGTGACGACGATCCCAGAAGAATCTTCTAGGATTTTTAGTTTATGACTGACAATCCTGGTAAAGGTTTTTGGGTTTAGGGTTCAGGGCCTTGCGGTTATTCTGGTCACCTCTATTTCGGATTTCAGCTGCATGTCTCAATACTGTTCATTGTTCATCCTTGGAAATCTCTGCAAAGCCCAAGTGCAATGTACCGTACATGGTTTAGGGTTAGGCCTTGGGATCAATGGTCAGGGTTTGGGTTTTAAGATTGTGTATAAAGTTAGAACATGCTTCCTCACATACCCCATACTTTCCTATAGCCGTAAAGTTGTAGTTCAAGGTATGTAGCCATATGTAACTATGTAGTCGCCTAAAGCCTAAACCCCCGGCAGCCGGTGAAGATGGAGGTCTGAGAATTCCAAAAGAGGAGACTCCAACTAAATAAACGAAGCAGCTGATTCCTTTTGCAAATTAGGGTCTCGGATGTAGCACCTATGTAGGAAACTCCCTTGATATTTGTTGGAGGGTTCGAGTTTGGATATTTTAAGTATCGATTTGTGCGGCTGCATCTCTGACTCGTGGTTACAGACGAACTGTAAGAAGTAAACCCTAAACCCTAAAGTAAAAAGCAAGCCTTAAACCTTCAAAGGCCCAAACCGCTACATCGGCCTGGACAGCCCTCTGCTGAAGCCTGGAATTGAACAATTCCGCACCCAGGCAGGAAAACGCTGCCGAAGCGCTAACGGGCGTCATGGTCTACACGCAGACTTTCGCGCTGCATTTGCTGCTTGCTCTGGCTTAAGGTTTAGGGTTTAGGGTCTCATGTTGAACCACGGATGAAAATGGATCTCCTGGCAAGAGTCTTCAACCTCGCCTTAAATCCGATCTGAATTGGGGTGCTGTAAGCGACTTCGTAAGAATTGTGAGGCGGTTTAGAGTTTAGGGTTTATGCCTCCACCCTGAAGCACCCGAGCCCAACAACAACAGAGCCCAGCCAAAGCTTATCTTGGTGTTCTTCTGGTGGGTTCTTAGGACTTTAACTTTTTTCGTTGGTTTCTACAGGAACTTTAATCGGTGGCCTCAAAGTTTAACTTTTAGGAGGAGCTCAGAAGGCAGCCAAGTTAAACCCTAAAACCCTCAAGCCCTAAACCCTAAACCCTAAAACCCTAAAACCCTAAACCCTCAACCCTAAAACCCTAAACCCTAAACCCTAAAACCCTAAACCCTAAAACCCTAAACCCTATAGGGGAGGCTCACACCTTCCGGAAGCTGCCTTGAGGCTCATGGGACTTTTTAGGGTTTAGGGCTTCGGTTTTAGGTTTTAGGGTTTAGGGTTTTAGGGTTTTAGGGTTTAGCAAGGCCAGTAAGGCTACACGTACTTTAGGAACTTCACAAAGAGCCCAAATACCCCTTAGTTAAGGAATAAACCTTGAATTATAAGGGGCATAAAAAGTATGATTTAACGTCTATTCCGTAATTAGGGAGTATGGGGCTCTCTGGGTTAGTAAGTAAGGCTACACGTAAGGTTATTGTTAGGAGAACCCTACTTAGGGGGCTTACAACCCCAATTGTAACCGTACTTACTAAGTCCCCCCCTTGAGCCCTTAAGTATCTAAAGCCACTACCAAAAGGACCCCCAAAGGGTTTACGGGTCATATATATATATATATACACGCACATACATGCATGCATGCA